TTACGTTGTTTGATATAAAAACATCGCGTCGGATAGAAAAAACGCCCGCGGGATAAAGGTCCCGTGGGCTGACAGATAGAAACGTTCCAGTGGTTTGACGCGCCGATGCAGGGACCACGAGAAGAGTGCTCTCTCCCCTTTAGTCAGGTACAAAACAACCAACGCGAGGCCCCCGTTCCGGCTGCATAATTATACCTTAAAAAGGATGATCCCTTTGGGGAGATTAAGGGACAGCGCTTAAGACCGGCTGCTATCTTAATGAGCGTATGGAGGCTCCGGAGTCGCTTGGCTTGACTACCGATGCCAGACAATCGTAATTAGGCGTCACTTGCTTGCTCTCGCTGGGGTCAAGTGTGCGTGTTCTGGACACTTTTGCGTGTTCCTGGAAGCTTCGACGCCGTGGGATACGTACAAGACTCTTGTACGTGAGATAACTCTGAGATCCATTTTACGTGCAGCTACAAGGTGTTCTCGTGGACAAACCTTGTTAGCTTGTTCGACGAATAAAAATGAGAATTTTTAGGTAGAAGGATTTTTCACTGGAATATAGAATAAATAAATAAATGCACCATACATGGGTACTTATTTTCAATCGTTCAGAAATGAAAAGAAATATTAGAATTCACAGAATTGATTATTGTGACTATTTATCAAATTAAAATCCCATGCGGTAAGGGGCTAATCTTCGTCCGTGCCTCATTTTCTCAACCTAATTTGTCCCTCGAACTCTCTTGACAGTTAAACTTACACATTCTTTAAAGTAAAAATGACGGAACATTAGCTAAATTTATCTATGCACGACGGAATAACATCGTTTCTCAGGAGAAAAATGTGTAAAATTGACACAAGGAACGGATGAAGGTTAAAAAAACAAAATAGTACCGAAGATACAATCTTTTGAGGAAGGAGAGAAAGGGTAAAGAGGAAGATCCGACGTGGAGCGACGGGTCGAAATTTACTTTCCGGCAAACACGTTTTATTGATAACAGCTCGAAATACTAGCGTTGAGACAATATGTATATATATATATATATATATATATATACACACATAATATATATACATATATGTGTGTATTATTATGATTGAGCTCAATTGTCCAATTGCCCGGTCATTGAATGCCATATGTACAGGGCTGGCTCGCCCGTTATTAGCAAACCGTCGATGATATTCTCAACCAGATCGACCGCGTTTCCACGGGATCGGGGGTCGTGTGCTCGTGATCACACGACTGAAATGAGAGCCCCTGCCAATCTTTTGTCTATTAAATGTATTCAACAGGGTAATAGCGGCTGATATTACCAATTGGACAATGAAAGAGATGGCAGGCGGAGTGCGATTTGCCATCCCCTCCCCCCCTCGATCCCCTAGGGGGGGAGAGGATCACCGACGCACCAAGATTTCGACAGGAGGCGATGATCTTGCCGATCGTGAATCGCCATTGTCTCTATCCCCTTCAATTCAAACATTGAATCAAACTTCAACTTGAAACCTTAGGCAAATCTTCACTGGTGACTGAATCCCGAAAATTCAGTTTAGTCCAGTCGAATTAGGCACGAAGTGTACCTACATCTATTTTCTTTCAATTGGAAATTTACGAACAAACAATCGGCAAGTAGTCGAAATTTCGAGATTTAGGTTACATGGTACTGAATAGAAAATTCAGTGGAAACCTCTGTATCTGAACTAACAAGAAAATGTATCTAAGTGTTCGGATAAAGGAATCTTTTGGATAATTGAATAATATCGTTTCTGACACTAACCTTCATTTATTTGAATAGAGAAGAAAAATACTGAAGGCTTGTTCGAGTAATTTAGTTGTTGAATAGTTTCGTAGAAAATCAGTCTGATCGGAATTATCGCCATCACTAACGCAAGCACTAATTTTTATTGTATATTTGTGAGACAAGGTCGTTAGGAGGATAGTAGAATATTCGAACACTGGGTGTCCGTATACGGAAGGATCTACTGTTTCTTTTATGAGAAATATATTAAAGACATTGAAACGGAGAAATTTCGTAAAGACCAGAGTCGATTTGGTCGCTTTCAGAGGGGGGCTCGTATATTTTTCTCAGACCCAATAATGCCTTCCTTAAATATTCTGCAGGTCCTATAGAAAATACGGACAATAGGCGAAAGGAGCACGTGTACACGGTGATTTATTGCCTTTTTAGGGATAATAAAATGGCGGCTGGTACCGGGCAGCAGCAGGTAGCCGTGGCACAATGGCCGGTTTTGTACACTTTACCTACATTAACGGACGCGCACGTGTGCAATTGCCGGAAATTCCGAACGGGACACGTCGGCTTCCAGCTAAATACCCGTTTAGAGAAAGCATTTTAATATTACCCCGGGGTTCTCCCCGAATCTGTGCACCAGATGTTCGCACCGCGTTTTCGAACGACCGCCTAGTGAAATTCGACTTCGACCGTTTCCTTCCTGGAAGAACCCACGTTTCCCATTGTGCACGACGCGGGAACCTTAATGGGAAAACGGCGATCGGCAGCGTTCACGTTGCAGCACAATAAAATTTCCGTGGGTTAAATTCCTCGTCTTTTTTTTTTTGTAATTAGCTTCGTACAATTTATTATCGATTCAATGTCACAGAGATCAATTTGATCAATTCATATATCTCTGTAAGCTCTTTTTTTTTATAAAAGTCACGATTCGTACAGAAGTATCTTACGTTACCATGTAAATTTCGATAAGTTAAATTCGAATTTAATGACCAGTCGTTTATACTGCCAGTGATTCCCGTGATTTCTCATCGATCACGGTACAATCCCGGTAGCTTCGACGAAAATACAGATAATAACCGTCGAGTAGAATTTCGAATTTCAAAACGAGATTTAGCGTTTGATCGAGGACCGCTTGATCTATTAATATTATCACGAACTCCGGATAGCGGTGTACTGAAATTTCGACGAAAATCGATTTCGATGCCTTTTCATGAAGAATCTATACGATGAATGATTATTGGTATGGATTTCAACGAAATAAAATACCGTTTCCTTTACAGTGAACATTCTTACACTTATTCAAGGAACAATAATCGACAAAAGTTTCTGCAACGTTTCAGTCGTCAGTTGAAATTCTTTATGCAGGTATTTTCTTTTGTGTCGGAAAATCAACCCTCTGTTTTCACAAATGGAATTCTCATCAGGCCGAGTCTGAAAGGACTTTTATTTTCGTCTGGCTGCTGTCCTCTGTACACGATTTTAAAAATAAATTCGCCGGCGAATCGTGTGTCTACCGATCAGAGGCGTGACGGACATTCTAAAGCTTATAAAAATCTTAGGATATTTTTTACATTTTATTTTTGTGACAATCAACGAAAATCCCATTGAACAATCCTTATCGGTGATAATATTTTTGCGAATAAGCTGAGGTTATTTGGTCCTGTTCGATCATTCGTAGTGGCGATTCAACAAGGGGACCAAAATGGCGAACGTTAGGGACAATTGCGCGAACAACGCCGGCAAACTAAATTGCAACGGTATCTACTTGACCTGGTAATTACGTGACTGGAAAATGGCCAACATTGATGGATAGGGGGACAAAGGGGATTCGATCGGTGGCGCTTCGAGGCGTGGATTTCTCGAAATTCTGCCACGTAGCCAAAGACGCTCCCGCGAAACGAGTTCCCGTTGTCTTTCACCGCGTTCCAGCGATCGGAAAGTTTGTCGACGGAGAAACGAGCAGCCGGAAAAATTTCGTTGAAAGATATACACCGAGTAATACTCGCGTCCCCTCGCTCTTTTACACATTTTTTTCTGGTGTTCTCGAACGAACATGTCCCGGATAATAACTTTTTTTACCTACCTTAAAATAGTAAAAAAGAGTTTATGTTGAATCCGACCACACCTTACCAAGTACGATCTTAAAACCCCTTTTACCATTCGACGGTTAAAAGTGTCACAGAGTAATCGTTGTCGCATTATTTATCTCGGAGGGCAAGTATTTTATGATTAATGGTTAAATCTACCCGATGATGCCCTTGTGATTCAGGCGTAATAGTAGCTCCGAAAAGCAATTTAGCAATATCTTTTTACATTTACAGCTTTGATCAATTAATCCTTAGATTAAACTTTGAAGTATGAAATACCTAGGCATGTATTTTCTTTCTTCGTTTGCATGTAGTAATAAATTTTTAATTCTTTGTAGGTTCCTTTGAACGATACTTCATGGAATGGGTATTTTTAGACATTATAGGCCGGACGACAGTACCCATTCGATAGCCTTCCTTACGACCGAAGCCACTCAGCATTTTTTTTTGTTTTATTATTCGCGTATCTTCGTGAGCCCTTCCTGCCACCCTCGCGGATATTTTTTTTGCCGCGTTCCATCCATTCCGCGCTCGTAACTTTCTCTTTCGCGCGATCCTCCCTCTCTCGAATCGCCTACGAAAATACCACGGCTCACCCTTGCGAGCCTATGCTCCGCTTGGAGCACGTGTTTTCGTCGCTACACCTCCTTCCTCTCGCTTCCTCGAGCCTCTTTCGCGATTCCCTCTGCCCGTAAAAATCCCGACTGGGCTCAGAAAAATTTAGCACCGACGAACAGTGCGAGGAAAAGCGAAAGCAGATTCGTTTCGGTTGGTGAACTTGATCCTGGTTCAAAAAGCAGTCAAGGACTCGCCTGTTTCTCCCCTGGCCCAAAGATCGCGATGACGATCACTAATTCGAGGATTTTAAAGATCGAAGGGTTTGATAATTTAAGGGATCAATGCAATAATGGATTAATCAGCAACAAAAACAAGATTAAGAAAATAAGCTTCGAAGTTTAAAAGAAAACTATAAAACACAGTGTTAACGTTTGTCTAGGATGGACCACTTGTCGAAATACAGTGGATTCATTCGTTCACAGATTTCTGAACGTTAATCCCTTCCATGGTTTGAGGTTTGCTCGTGCTAAATTGTGCAAAATACAATCGTTGTACGAGCCATAGATCGTTTTTTTTTTCGTTTGGCAAATGGTAAGATCAATGACTTTGTACTCACCCAGTCGAACCAGTTGTCCCTGGGAACTTTGATCGATCTGGACGTTCAGGAGTATCCCAATGATGAGACATTTTGCGATCGCCATCACGACTTCTTGGACGACAGGTATAACACCGGGGTGGCTAGTGGCGCGGCATTAGTAACTTTCTGAAACAATAAATGCAAAAACTCGTTTGTACTTATATTTTTTTAGACTATTTCCATCATTCTTTTGATTATAATTTCTTTTATAATTTTCATTTGAACAACGAAAACCTAGTGTACCCTGGACTAAGTGGAGGTTGGAAACAGGGGGTTACAGCGTGCACGTGATCTATGGGGTTCGAGTGATATCTCTCGGTCGAGGATGCACCGGACGTGTTCTGGTGCACGAAATCAGGTCTGGTGTTCGAGACTGAAAGGGAGAGAGAGTCAGCCAGCCATGTGTTCTCTAGGGCCGGTCCGGGAAACGTGGTCTATTATTCTTTACGGGGACACAACCGAGCACCCCCGATAGTACTCCATAAAATATTCCTCTCGGTCCCCGTGGGCCGTCTCGTTCCTGTTCCGATTTATGACAATTCGCCGTGATGCCGGGAGACGGTGTATACACCCGCGATTCTGATGTTACTTTATGGGACCCCTTATAAACCGGTCCCCGTGGTTAGTTTTAAACGCCTCTATTTATAAAGATCCAGGCTGGCTGTGGTCTCATCGATCCTCCATATAAATACGCGGGTGTTTCGTTGTCGCGAAGGTACACTTGGTTTGAAACAATAAAATAAGTTTGTATAGAATATATATCATATTTTCTGTAACAATAATAATAATACTATCTATAATAGATTAGATAAATCAGATGCATAATGATTAGGCGAGAAATGCTGTTTTTAAACCTGAGAAATCGAGAAAAAGGGAATGTGTATGAAGAATTATCACTAGACTGCAGATCTTTATGTAAATTCTGATATTTATAGGGTTAATTCACTGAACTAAAATTATGTCAGAGATTTGTTTCTTTTATCAAAGGTTTTGTCAGGTCCAAAGTAAATTAAAATTTATACCACCCTGTATGAGAATTCTCACTGTAGTGTGTTCTGCAGATTCACATTTGTGATAAATGCATTAAATCCGCAGTCTAGTGATCACACGCTGTGTATATACACGATTTTATTGCAATGATATGGGAAGTTTAGTACTGAATTTTATTGGTTACTATTAAATTCAACTGTTTTTGTTATACGGTAACTGTCAACCACCTATTCAGGAGCTGTTTACAACTCGGGCAATTTACACTCAAATTAAAACAGTATTTATTGTAGCTAGTTAGGGATGCAGAGAACAATTGTAACATGTTCCTGGCAATCGAAAGGTTTTATCAACATGCGATCAGACCAGTCCTCTTTATCTCGATCGAACCTGATTGAAAATTATTGGAGAATTGAAAGCAATTTGTATGTATGAAAATCGAGGCGGACATAATTTTATCCTTGAAACCGCTCTATAAAGATGGCCAATCGACCGAAAACATTCCCAACGATCCTTTGAATACGTGCTCCTTAAACGAGGCGAAATAAATTGTTTCGAAAATGTTGACTGGTCACGCAGGACACTCTCTGACGAGAGACCGTGAAACGGTGCACTAAAATTGTATGCCCCATTGTTTCTTCAATCTTCTTTCCGAGACGCAGACATTGTAATTGTGATATATGAGGACCGGTCCCTCCACCGAGTGAATTCACATTGAATAGATTTAGTTTTTCATGTTTTTTCCTGCAATGAAACAACATAGATTTGAATAATTTTAGGGAACAATTACCATAGACGCAGATTGAAACACCACGATCCATTCGATCAACATTCCACGATTTCAATCATTTTAGGAAAGAATATCGATAAACAAAGATAAACACTCCACGATCTATTTGGTCTATTCGATAAATTCGACATCCAACGGCATCCTTCACAAGAATTGATAACGAAACGATAAATGGAAATTCCCGTTCAGCAATTCAACGATTTTTCTGTTCGAAAGCATAGTGGAAAGACCGGTCAGCGAAAACAATACAGTAAATCACGAGTACAAAAAGATCACGAGGCGCCAGTTCACGAAGCTCCCAGCCGCCATTAAAGCGTCCATTCGCTAGACTCAATAGGAAATCGATGTAACTTCGATCTATACGACTGTCCGAAACGATTTCACGGATTTCCCGGTTATCGCAATTAGCAGTCGGTTATCTGCGTCCTCCAATTAACAGAACAATGAAGCTAATGCCCTTTTCGTGTAAACGATACCGGCCGCCATATTGGTTTCCAGAAGACAGGGGAAACCCAACAAGGGGATCCAAAGGAACCCGCGTTTTCGGCTGCTCCTCCCCTAAAATCCGCTTTCACACGATTCCTACTTTTTGTTTTTTTTTTTTTTCATGGGAAGGAAGGAAAATATGTATACCGTGATTTAGGCGCGTCACGTGAAGAAAAGTCCTTTCCTCGCCCCATGGAAAAACCGTTGTCGGCTGCTATCTAACTTCTCTCGTCTTGGTTTTTGATATCTCGGAAGATCTAGGCGGCACCCGGTCACGACAAACGGTATTCCCGAGGTCGGGACAAATTGAATGAAATCGCTCGAACCTGTTTCTTCCCTCGACCACCCGTAATTATCGTGACGTAGGTCGGGAATTTTACGACGTCGTGAACGTATTTAGGATGTGTATCCTGGATGCACATATGTATCCTCACGATAATTATCATCCGACAATTAAATGTTTCCAAAAGAATTTACGATTTAAAATTTCGTCTTTATTCTTCTGTTTGCGTATTACGTTCGGGAGAGGGATAGGTTGTTGGAAATCTGCAAATGGATAATTTAATGGAACTGCTTCACTTATAGAGGATGCTCCAAAAAAGGATTTAAGACTTTAGGTGCTTATAATACTAAGTGGAGAAGAAATGTTTGATCAATATAGATACCAAAATCAATATTTACTAGCGGAGAGAAATACTAAAGTTTGTTACATCGACGTACATTTTATATATTTAGTTAGTTATCATACAGGTGTGATCCCAGTATGCATACATAACGATTTAATCAAAGTAAAAATAGAAACAGTTTCAGCAACACAGTATACAGTAAGGAATTCATTGTAAAAGAAAAATTTGAATTAAACATTCACTTAACACTCCGTAGGCAATGTGAGCTTATGACGACCCAAGTGATTCCTATTTTTCCCGGACCGTCCTTCGAATTTTCATTTTTAGTATAATGTAGCACAGACTTCTGTAAAATTTTTTACTCCTCTTTTTTTCGAACACCTTGTGTATTGCAATAAAAGTTGCGAAATATCTCAGAAAATACGATGTTACGACATTTCACGTTTATAAGACTTCACTAACCAGTCGTTTTGACTGCTTCAGTAGTTCTAATATTAAATCTTTTTTTTCTCTGCTTTCGCGTAAAATCGCTCGTTTTACCAGAAGTCTTTTGTTCTTACACCCGTACTTACATTACACGTCTCGAATTTCGAGAGTAAATCAACCGTTGTCGTGTACAACTCGACGATTTTCACTTCCCATTTTCTCGTCTACTCGTTTTTCCACGAACGTAACCTTTCCTTTCGAAAAAAAAAAAAAAAACAGATATCTCCAGCCGTGTTTTGGCGATCGTCCAGGCCCCGAAAAGTTGCGCCCGATCGAAACAGGTAAGGGGAGGGGAACGGTACTCTCCATTGAACGTGCCAAATTGAAAGACGGCCCTGAATATGCCAAGCGGCTTTAACGCACGTGCTGCGCAACAGGCGAAGCGGACGGCATAATGCGCTCCTCGAGGATGGGCTTCGTCATAAATTTTTATAGACCAGGGGCGTGTCGATCGATCCAATATACATCATGCATTTTTCGTTCCCGACACAGGTTGTAAAGTGAGTTGTTATAATTCGTTCGATAGGGGAAAATTCTTGCGAAAAATAACACCGCGAAGGGGCGGTGCGCAGCGTTTTTACGCAATCTCGTGTTCATTCTCGACACGCGAAAATTCTACTTTCCTCCGTACACGCGTGTAATCTGGGTTATAATTTATAAGCGGATTTATAATTGCAAATTTCATTGGCCGACCGTCAAAGGGGATGGAGAGTCGACGTGTAAGGGGCTCTGAGGGCGATCTTAATTGAATACACATGATAAGAACGAAAGGTGGTAATTAAAGAAAACGTAGGTTCTTTTTTTTTTTCGCCACGCAGATATTTTCCGCGTATTACACATCAACTTGCACGTGTATTCTTCGCTCGGGCAGGATCGAAAGGATCATTAAGAATTCATTAACGTCGGACAGGCGACTGCATTTCCTCGAGCGCCCGCCTTGGAGATTTATTTTTTCTCGACACGCCGTTTTAATGACCGTTTTCGAAAATCCCCGTCCGTCTTGGGCACCACCGGAAGATTGTTTTCTTTGAAACACCCTAACGACCGTCGGCACCCATACGAAAATACACGGAGATTTGAAAGAAACAGATGAAAAACGGAATTATGAATCCACAGGCGGCGATTAATATTTTAAGGCTGAAAAACTCGCACGAATTATTATGTGGGGGTGGAATTTCCATTGGGGTGGTTCACCTGTTCGGAGGAAGATGATGTTAAAGGAAAGACGCATGTTTTCTGCGTCTGGTTTCTGTCTTTTCCCTTCTACCAAGGAAATTCTCGTAAAGTCACCCTAGGGGTGCGAAGGAACAGGATCCTCGATGGAGGAAGGGTCGAATTTTAGGTTTCGCGCGGTCTTTACTGCTCCGATGGCAAAAATATGGTCGCCAGATTGTGCTGGTTCGTTCTCCTTCGACAGACTACACGTCGAGTATATATTTTCTTTCATTTTTAAGTCACAACGTTCCAGAACCTCTGTTTAAACATTCGAAAGACGGTCCCATGCAAGTCAGTGTTTTCCCGATTCACACTAAAATATACTTTTCATAGTCAACATAAAATTTTTTGAAGACTACTTTTTTAATAGTAAAGCTACGCTTCGTTACCTTAAGATAGGATTTAAATTTTTGATTGAAAGTAATTCAGCCTTTGCCAAAACAGGGTTAAATGTGACTGGATTATTTTCTATTTTGTTCACCTTTT